TATTTGAGAACCAACATAACATATATAGTTAATTTAAATAAAAGGATATAGTTTCTTTTATATCTTTCATTTGAATATATCTATTGGTGGGAAAAAATTATAAGTTTTTATATTTAATCTATTATGGTAGGGAAAAAAAAAATTTGAACCCCACATATATATGACGATCAACCACAGAATAAAATATATCTTTCTGTTTGCCCGCATATTTTATGTGAATTTATTTTTTGTGCTTGTTTTATCACTAGGTGTTATAATGAGATACTTGTCCCACATCAAATCCGGATATGAGGTAAAATGAATATAAATGAGTGGGTATGCAACACTGTTCAATAATTTAAGCTTTTGGATAAATGAATAAGCGTCCACCGGTTACATTGGTATCAAAGTTAAATTCAGTTCTTGATTTGGTGTCACAACAAGTGCCCGGTTCAGAAAGTGTTCAGGTGAGGCACTCGAGTAAGTAGGGTGACTCGACCGCATACGAAAGTGTTGCATATAAATGAGTGGATATGCAATACTATTATTTAATTTAAATTTTTTTGTTGGCAAACACTAACCCCTAGTTACACTAGGCCATTAACTTCTTCTTCTTTTTTATTTTTTTCCTAAGCCATTAACTCGGTTGGTTGGTAGGACATTCTTGTCTTAAAAATGTGAAAATTTAAATCTCATAATGGATATTTACAAGTATTACCTAACAAGAGAGAGAAAAAAAATCGTATTTGGATTATTCGTGGATAAAGAAAGGAAATGGGTGGTCTGATCGTAGGTCCCAAAGGGATATAGATATAGATATGGCCATGGGCTCCCCCACAAGCCCCCTCAAAGAGTGACGCTTTCACTTGAGCACAGGAAATACGCCTTTAATAGTCTATATGTGACGGGATTAGTGATATGATTAGAAAAGTTAATTAAAGATGGATATTATTACTGCCTCTACTAAGGACATTAACACAATTATTTCATTTTGTGATTAGGAGTGTGTGTGTGTGTGTGAGAGAGAGAGAGTGAGAGAGAGAGGGGGGATTTATGATTGGTGGGGCAAATGATTTTGAATCCTCACCCCATGTGGAGACCAATTTGGCTGGTATTTCTTGGCCGCCTAAGCCAGCACCAAAAATGAGAGGACCCCACAAATTGAAATTTTTTTTTTTCCTCCCACAAATTGAAGTTGAACCACTAATCTTCCGCCCTTTCTAATCCTCAGAGGTTTTAGTATTGCTGATGTGGGGTACCCACAAAGTTATACCTGTACTGGAGTAGGAGTAGTAAAATAAACAAAAGCAATTAAGGGGAATTGAGGTGAGTAGTATATAACCCCCCATTAAATGCAAACAAGCATTCAGTGGTGGAATCCATGTGAAGACAATGATGGGCAAAAAGGAATTTTTAAGTTGTGAGTGGAATCTAACCTTCAACTTGCTTCCTATTGAGCAAGTGTTTAGGGCATAAAACAATGCAAAGGAAGGGCTAAGTGGGATTTTGGTCCCTCTTTGTACTACAAAGCTATGCCCTTCTTTTTTGACCACCTTAGGCTTTCTCAGCCCTGGATCCAATAAGTAGGACTTGGATGAGGTCTTACTCCATCAAATTTGAGATCCACTGGACCCTCATTTTCCTCTACTTTTCTTTTCTTTTCTTCTTGCATCATCAAGCAACAAAATGACACAAATCCCATGTGGAAGTAGCCAATTAACTACATGACACATTTATGTGGGGCCCTTTCAATCTCTCTTTTTTTTTTTTCTCTCAATCTCATTCACTTTGTCAATTTAGTTAGTACATAAAACAGTCCAATTATATGATGCAAAAACTTAGGAAGACATTGGGCTTAATACTAGTGATTTAGGAATTGAATTATAAAGTTATGGAATTTAATTTATTTGAGAAGGGTGGTGGGTTCTGTCCCATGACGTTATGTGGTGGGATTCACCACACACTCACATAAATTAAATTTAGATACTATCGAATTCGGCTCTTAAATCATTATTCTTGGTAGGAATAGTAATGGAACGGTTTGTGGTGGATATTTCATTACCCATCCTTATTCCCGTTTAATTTTTTCACCTTCATAATCGCCCCAAAACTCGTCAGGTTTTTTAATGCAACTCCCATCCTCGCTTCCATTTACATAATTAGTTCCTCAAAATCTTGGACTTAATCTCCGGTTTTTTATTTTATATATATATATATATATATATATATATATATATATATTTAGTGAAATTACTATCAGCAAAAAAGAGGCTAATTCGGGCATTACCTTTAATTAATTTTTCTTCAATTATTGACACTCTCAAATGTAACTCCATTAAAAACCACTGGATGTACAAAGCTAATAAAAAACTCCATTGCATTTTGAGACGTCATAAGCCACAAGGAAATAGCTGTAATTTTTTCTCTCACACACGCAGCACATACTCACGCACTGATGCAGCTGGAGGTTGCTGATCAGGTTCGGTAGGAATAGTACTATGTGATAACAAACCACCCCGCAAAAATAAAATAAGAAATTCTGAAACCAACCAAGATCCACCTGGTTTAACTGCCTTAATTTAATACTAGCAAAGTTATATTAAGATCATATGTTTGGTCAAACTGAATAAGTTACCACTAATTGAATAAAAAACCCATGTTACTATTCCCTCATTGGTTGATTGAAACCATTGGCTAATCAATTTAGTGTCAAAATTAGGTCAATGGGTGCCTTCACACGCCCTCCACCAAGTTTGAACATTCAATCTCCCTTTTTGAATGTAAAAAATTACAAATGATTCAAAATTTTATCATTTACTAAGTTGTTTTTAATTGCATAAAAATTATTTAAAACATTTTAACCATAAAATATTTTTATTTTAGTTTTGATATTGAAATTCAACGCAAACATATCTGGCAGTAAGATAATCTTGTAATCAATAGTTCTGTCATCTATATTATAGATTAGGACCATCTATGATGGTAGTGAAATGAAAGTAAAATGAAATCACTTCACATTCTGTAATAAAATAGAAAAAACATCCCTTTCATGGCATTGTCCTAGTAGAAAGAAAAATGTGGGGAGCAAAGTGGATTAAAAGTAAAGTATTACAAAATAAAATAAATAAACTAGGATGACAATCCAAGATTTAGACCTTATTTAGATACGCCATTAGCATGATGTTAATATAGGAAATAATAGGCCTGCAATAAAATTTTAATTAATAACATTTAAATTCAATGTAATTTTAAAACAAGCACTTGATTGTTGTCTTATTTGGAGAATAAATTTACTTGATTATATAAATTGTCGGTTTGCTTAGGGGGAAATTTTCCTTGAATTTTCTCCAAATATTTTACTATTTTGCGGGGTTTTAATGTTAGCTTACCTACCAACATGATGAAGATAAACTATAATTAGTTTGTTGAACCAATTTAATTAGGAGGAAAACTTATTAACCATAGGTCAAATTAAGAAGGATGTCACATTAGAAAGAAAAATCATAGGTTTTAATATGAATTATTGAAAATACTTCCAAACTATCCACATTAAACATCATTTTCTTAAGTATTAAAAGTTTTAGAAATATTCAGAAATGTACTATGTGAAGCTGTTCCTAAAAATTTGGAAGTAGCAGCCTACCTAAAATATGAAATGTTTCTACATTTAGCAAAATACTTAGGATCTTGGAGAGGCATATTCCAGCACTAAACCAACATTATGCTTGTCCTGCCTAAGATCATGATAAATGTATAGGGTATTAGGTCAAGTAAAGGATTAAAAAATAGCATGGTTTGGTCCAGTGAAGACATTATATAATTCATAGTTTTATGACATAAACATAAGTTAGGTTTCGATGATTCTAAATTAAGAAGACATCATTAGAGTAACTAAGCATCCAATGTCGACACAAAGAGTTGTATAGTCTAGTTGTCTTTTCTCAATTTTTAAAGTGGAATGATGAGGATTCAAGTCTCCAAGGAGTACAGTTGGTAATTGTGTTCTTTCACACACACGCACTAGCTTAAACTAGTTCACGAAGAAGAGTCGTATCCCCATTGTATCTTCTAAATTTTAAAAGTGAAAGAACGAGGATTCAAATCTCCAAAAAACAAAGTTGGTGAGTGTGTTATGGGGTGCAGGAGCGAACAAAAAATAAATAAATAATAATAATAATAATAATAATAATAATACCATAGTCAACATCAAACTAGCCAAATGCGTGGTGGTAATCACCCGTACTGAGAACTGTATTCGGCACTGAGGTAGTGGGTTCAAAAAAATTAGTGTCAGCACTAAAGCTTCACTTTAAATTAATCTGTATCTACAAATAGAACCCTATGGGAAGCAACTTTAACTCAATTAAAGAAGCAAAAACTCTTCAAAATCATTTGTGGATGAATTTTCATGGCCTGAAAGTCACAAAATTGGTTTGTTAAACTAATGATCTCTGGTATTGCATGACATCTGTCCAGTGCTGATATTAAACTGATCTATTTCTATAGTATCCTTTTTGTCTTAGAGCCTAGTAAATAGTCTCTGCACTGGAAGTGACTCAGCTAAAATAATGGCCTCAAATTGTGTTGAAAAGAACATATTGAAGTTTAGTCACTAATGGAAATAGATTTGTTTTTTCAAAAACAAAATCATAAAATTAAAGTTGAACCTACTTAAAAATCCCAAAAAAAAAAAAGAGAATATTTTCAAGCTTGCATTTTCGCTTTTAATAAACTGTGTCACAGAAAACATGACCCGCTCCTTTTACTTTGGGCAGGGTTGGGTTGTTGGCCCATGAAAAGACCTTAATTGAGAGGAAGTTTAAGGTTGATTTAATGTTAATTGCACCATCTGAAAGGTGTGATCTTTGATATTTTCACATCTTAGGAATCACATTTACATTTTTTTGTTCATATATTCTAGTAATCACACTTTACTTCACAGTACTTCGTTCTCTAGCCAACACTTGTGTGATTGCATTGTAAGCAATTAAAGGTGGTCATGTGTAGACAAGAACAAGATCGGAAAAAATTGCATGAGACATTTTATTCATTGATAGACCATTAATTTGATCTCATCAAACACATTATGAGACGAAATGAAAATGGTGAAAGGGCTACATCCCGTCACAGATGATTCTTAAACTAAAATTCTCCCAATTATGCAACAGGCAAGCATATGATTCCAAAATCAGCCGATGTAAAGGAAAATAGTTTAGGAAAGAAACTAATTTTCTTGCTATTCATTTAGGGCTTGAAAGGAGCGAAAACAACCACCGAATTGTGCCCACCAAAGCCAAAGGAATTAGAGATACCTGCAGCAAAATGAAAATTTTGATTAGACAGTTCTGAAGTGGATATGTTTATTTCTTTGTTGGGATACAACAAGAATTCTTGACAAAAGCAAGTACAGTTTGTTAATTATCTTGCATAAAGCAATTTCAACGAAAGCTGAAAAACCTAGCTTCATATAAAAGCATATTCAAATGCACAAACCACAATGTATTGCATTGTCATTCATTGCTCAAAGAAGAGGAAGAAATGGAGGAATTAAGAACATACCAACATTAACTTCGTGCTGTTTCTTCACGTTGGGAACTGTATCAATTGTTACTTCAGGCTCCAAATTCTATGAATATAAAGAAAGAAATGTGTATGGACATGGAATACATTAGAAAACAAATTAAATTAACTAAATGGATTGTAATCGGAGAAATGAGGGTTGTCGTGCAGTACATATTGGTTAATGGTTGGATGTAGCCATCCAGTAGTGATTGCTTTTATAGTTGCAATGGCTTCCAATCCACCAGCAGCTCCAAGGCCATGTCCAATCATTGACTGTAAAAAGAAAAAAGAAAAAAACTCGCAGTAGTTAGCTGTGTTGTTACATTACCATGTGATTAGGTGAACGTTTATGCACTGCACAATAAAATGTTAAACATATGATTAGTTTTCAGCAAGTAATCCATTTCTTAACAGCCAATCAATATGGTTAAAATGCTGGAATTGTTTGAACTGTGCATAATTTGATATACTGACAAATGCTTGGCTGTCAAGTGTGAGAATGCAAGTTCACATTTTGCAAATATTGGCAATATTTCATTATAAAATAATTGTCACAGAATTACAATTATTCAGTGTGAATATGCAACTGGGATTTGGATCTCTTGCCTTAGTCCCATTCATCTTCATCTCGGACGTGTCCTTAAAGACCTTCTTGATGGCATTAACCTCAGCCAAATCTCCAGCGAGGGTTGATGTTGCATGAGCATTAACATAATTCACCTGTAGATTATGAAATTAACGAAGTTTATATCATAATCTAATGTGATTTATCTCATTGTGAATGGGATTTGTGCTTCTTTTTGCATCAAGATTTAAGAGTGAGCACTCATACCTCTTCGGGAGAAACTCCAGAATCTTCTAAACTCTTTGTTATGCAAGAGGAAACTCCAAGGCCATCTGATCGAGGATCAGTCATGTGATGAGCATCACATGTTACGGCACCTCCCAAATACTCTGCAATTATGTTGGCTCCTCTTTTCATTGCATGCTCCAAGCTCTCCATAATCTTTTATCAAGTGCACGAAACAAGTATTCATTAAACTTAAACTAAATATATGAAACATGTTACTGGAATAACATAATAAACTAAGTCATAAAGTTAGCAGAACCAAACAAAATCTAATCCGCATCTTTGATTACCAGCACACCAGAGCCTTCTCCCATAACAAAACCATCACGATCTTTATCCCACGGCCTTGAAGCTTTCTGGGGTTCATCATTCCTTTGAGATAAGGCCCTACAAGCTATAAATCCACCAACCCCGGTAGCCATGACAGCTGCCTCGGTCCCCCCAGCTACCATAACGTCTGCTTCTCCCCTTCTAATGTGATTTGCAGCAGCGTAGAAGCAATAATTTGCAGTGGCACAAGCTGTTGAGATCGAGTAATTGGGCCCCATTAAGCCAGTATCTATAGCTAACAATGCTGACCCCATATTGGTTATGGAATAAGGAATGAAAAATGGAGTAATCTTCTTATATCCCTTTTGAATGAGAGCTTCCACTCCATTGCTGAAAGATGTTAAGCCTCCCATACCAGTCCCCACTAGAACTCCAATTTTTGTTCTGTCCATCTGCAACATGTAAATTATAAATTCCTATCAGTTTTTGATCATATAATAGGTAAACTGTATTTTCAAAGTAATTTGATCAGACTTACATTTTCAAGGACTTGGGATCCAAGGCTGGCATCATCAAGGGCCCTCCTTCCAGCAACCAAACAGTACCTCCAGCAGTCATCAAGGCGGCGATCATTTTTGCCATCAATGTAACCTTTGGAAGAGAAATCACGAATTTGACCCCCAAACCGGACAGAGAAGTTCGAAGCATCAAACCTGTCGATTAGGCTGATTCCACTCTCTCCTTCAAGAAGTTTATTATAGAATGTATCAGTATCATTGCCAAAAACTGAAACAAGTCCCATTCCTGTTATGACAATTCTTTTCTTCGGGTCTTTCTCTCTCTTGGGAGCTGAAACTGTTGGAGTGGCCACGGCTTTGATTCTTCTCCATTTTGGAGCTGAGAATACGAAACTTAGTTAGAATTCAAACACCAATGAAAAAATAAATAAATAAAAAAGAAATTTGAATCTATCATTTTTGTTTTTCACTTGAGATTTGTGCCCTGCAAGATGTCAATGAACAATTAATTGCGTAGGTGAATTATACCTCATAGCTACATTAAACGGCAAATACAAGCGGTAAGTGATTGCCAAATAAGACATGAATGAAGAAAGAACATGTAAAAAATGAGTTTTCATGAACAATTTGTTGGGATGAGGTCAGGTATCAATAACATCAACCATTACTGCTATAACAATCATTTTGGAACCACTCTTTTCTTCTTTTGGGCTTATATGGGGAAAATTTGATGAGAAGATAGCAATAGGGATACAAAAAATTATAAAGAAATCACTCCAATAACAAAGAGGTTTGGAAATTCAGTGCAATGAACACAAAGGACAAAAGATGTTCAAAAGGAGTAAGGACATTGTTTTGGGGCATTTCTCAATCATTTCATCAAACACTAATTCCACATTTGGGATATTAACATTCTATTTTTGTTATATCAAATAGATTATTGACATATTTTCCATAAGAGGAAAAGAAAAACTCCAATTGTCCATTCTGCTGCAATTATAAGAAAATAGGGTGAAAAATCCAAGGACACAGAGAAATCAATAATCCTCAAAACAATGCTTCAGAATTTCAGAAACTCTAGCATTACATCAATAATAAAATTGATACATCACTCAATGGGATCGGAATTGGACCTAAAAGAACAATTAAGTAATAATGGTAACACATACATTAAATTTGTTTAATTAGAATTACAAAAAAAATAAATATTGGACAAGAATAGAAAGAAATGTGCATTCAAATAAATAAAATTAAAAGAATTGAAAAGATGATCACAACCTGAAGCGGAAATGAACCCATTTGTCTTAGACCCGGTTGAAGCCACTTGCTTGGTCTCAAGTGCTCTGAGCCCATTGTACTGAAGCAGACTGGTCCCTGATTCTTTTGTTCTGAAGATCAAACTCGAAGAAGAACAAGTACCAGCAATGCCTGCCATATCTCTCTCTCTCTCTCCCTCTACTTTCTCTCTCCCGCTTTCTTTGAAACAAGAATGCCTTGGTAGATAGATATAGATACAGAGAGAGAACTTTGGGTTGTCAGTGATGAGAGAGAGAGAGAGAGAGAGAGAGAGAGAGAGAGAGAGAAAATCAAATGCAAGGTGGAAGGAGTTAACAAAGAAATTTGGGTTTTTTCTGGAAATGGGAATTGGGTTGGAGAGTCCGCCCAATAATTTGTTTGGTTTTAAGTAAGGAGAGAACAAAATTGGCGATGAGTACAAAACAAGAAGAGAAGTGAATGAAGAGGTAGGTACAGATTTTTCTTCTTTGAAAAACAGAACAACACACAGAGCAGAGTTCACGATTCCTATTACGGTTTAACTACCCCCACTTACACTTCAATTCTATGAGAGAGACTCTGCCTATTGAATGCCTCAACTGTTCTTCATTGCCTGTCATACTTGATGCATGTATCTACACAAACTCACAGACCGTTTTCGTTCATTACCCTTTTCTTTTTCTTTTCTTTTTTTCTCTCTTTTTATAGTCTTTTGATAATGAAAAATTTTCCTGCTTGACTAATGTGACAATAGTTGAAATTGACACTTTTAAAGAGCAAGTTGAGCGCGGTTATTAGAGTCGCTAAAAAAAAAAACAACTGGAAAATTATAGCACACGTCTTTAATAATTTCCTTGTCATTTTTTTTTTTCTTTTCTTTTATTTTTTTCACAACTAACCTGTAACTACCAAATCAAGACATTTGTACAGTAATAGTCAATTCATTTTAACACCCTCACCGCACATATATATATATATATATATATTGAATTTTAAACAACTGACATTAATAAAATAATAATTACAAAGGTGGGTCAATTAGCCAAATACAACCCAACAAGGGAAACAAAGCCCAAAAGCGGCCCAAACATGGAAGACCCAATCCTGAGGAATAAACTAACAACCGCATTTAACGGCTAGCCGTTAAATGCGGTTGTTAGTTTATTCCTCAGGATTGGGTTAACGGCTAATTAGCCGTTAAATGCGGTTGTTAGTTTATTCCTCAGGATAATTAGCCGTTAAATGCGGTTGTTAGCTCACAATCCGGTGAGTGGCCCTAGCCAGAGATGATGATTGATCCTCATCATCTTCTATTGTAGAATTAATCCGGCGGTCTTGGAGGAGGCCGTTAATAAGCCGGCGACAGATTCCAGTCCATGAGGAGTTGCTATCTTCCAGAAACCCCAATTTTAGAAGAGCAGTGATTATGGAGGTAATCTTTGCAAGTACAGCTCTCTGCGTTAATTTTTTGTTCTTGAAGATCCGCTCATTTCTTTCCTCCCAAGTGTGGTTGACCATGGAGGAGAAGCAAACTTTGCGTAACAGGTTCATGGCTGATTTGTTTTTCCATTGAGTGCTTATGGAAAGAATCAGGTTCTCCCAATTTGTAATTGCAGAATTGAACTTACATTTGAGTTTGGTAAAGCACCAAATTGGGGAGATGAAACTGCAGTTGAAGAAGATATGTTGGTGTGATTCAAGGTGGTTTTGACAGAGGGCACATATATTTTCATGTTTGGACATAGATTTGCAGTCAAGTGTTAGAAGCCTTGATTGAACTACGAGCCATAAGTTGAATTTCATCCTTGGAATTGTGGGTGACTTCCACACCAAATTGTACCAATGGACTGGAGGGGAGTGCTCTGCAAGATGCCATGATGTGTGCTTAAGGTTGTAGGACCCATTTGGTGATGCCAGCCACAATTTCTTATCCCTTCTTAAAGTACAAGGAGGAGGGAGTGAAAGTAGCTCTGGGATAACATTAGTGAGGCTTGTTGAAAAGATGGATTCAAGATGAATGTGGCTACTGTGATTGTGTCATTGAATCCAGCATCAGTGAGAGTATTTAGTGGATGTCTAGTGCTGAAAGGGCCACTAAAGATCCAGTTGTCCCACCAGAAAGTTGTATCAATGCCATTACCAATCCTATGTTGGATGAGAAGTCTTGCAGGAAGCTGGAGCTGCAGTATCTTCCTCCAACTCCAAGAGCAAAGCTGAGGGATCTTGAGTGTCCAGAAGTTCCTTGATTTAATGAGGTGTGTGTTACACCAATTGATTCAAGCTTGTCATTTCTATTTGTTTGGAGATCCCAAATGTACTTTAGGATACCAGCTTTATTTGCTCTCACCGCATATACAATTTGGAAGAAAATAACAATGGGACTACTATAGGGATTTTTTTTTTTTTTTTTTTTTTTTAAGGAAAATGTATTTATAATCAATAATAAATTGACACGTTCTATTTTAATTATCAAATCATAGATGATAATCAAATCACCATCTCTTTAGTTATTTTTAGAACCAATTGAAAAATGGAATTATCCTTTGACAATTACCTGTCAATTCCTTATGAGACTCATACTGAAAATATTCAAGTTAATTTTGGGCATTAAATTTAGTGTTGCTGGAACACCCAAAATTAACCAGAGGAAAAAATGATGTCAAATCAAAATATAAAAGGGAAAAAAATAAAACCTGAAAAATCAATCATACGAAGAACATAAGCTATTTTCATATTTTAATATACCATTATTTAAAAAATTTATCTTTCATTAATATTTCTTGTATAGTTTGCTGACGACGGTCTTAGGTTTTATTTGATTTAGTATAAATGACTATGTAAGATTTATTAATTTAAAAAATTATGTTTAAACAAAATTATTTATGAACAAATCGTAGTCAATCGTTTATATTTTATTAAGCAAATAAGTTGAGTTTGATAGTTGATGCCAAAGTAATAAAATAAAGTTTTAAAAAATATTACTACTATATTGAGGACCTTCTCATGAAGTAATAGTATCCAAATGTATCTGTAACTGAGCCCATTAACGAAGAGACGAGCCCAAGTGGTGTCGCTAGCTCAGATGGGTTATTTGCAGCGAGCGAGGACTGCACACCCTAACAAAAACCCTAACTTGTGGGTTTTGGCAAAGGCTCGATGTTTAGTCAAATAAAAAGCTAATTTTCAAAATCCGCTGCACCAATACCTGCCTAACCCAACCAAAATGGAACCTACCTGGATGAATGATTTGTGGACCATGGCCCACAGGCCGTAGTCAGCTGAAATAGGTTTGGGCTGTGAACGCTCTATGTATTAAGTTTTGAGTGTGAAAAGTTGATGAATAATTGGTTCTTAGATTTCCATAAAACTTGGGCTGCTTATTATTATTATTATTTTTGGTAAGTTTGTTTAATTGTATAAGAGAATAAAAATAAATAAATAATCAAAAGAATAAAGGGGCATAACCCACTACATAATCAATCTATCAGAGAGAAAACAAATCAAGTAATTGGAATGGAATGCTCACCATTTGGGTGAGAGTATGTTTGGCGTTGCATTTGAATAAGCTAAGAATACTTTTAATTTGAAAATTTTATTTCTTTGTGTTTTATAATAATTTTTTCAATAATAAAAAGAAAAATAAATGTTATAGAATTTATTTGGTTAGTATGAAATTTTTTCAAAAATAAAAAATAATTGTGGGAAAGTCTCATTTCACAATTTGGATAGCATGAAAATTAATCAAAAGTATTATGATTTACCTAAATTGTACTTTTTTTAAAAATAAATTTGAATTTGTCTAAAATTAAATTTATATTTAATAATTTTTTATTTTTAAAAATAAAACAATATAAGAATCAAAATAATAAAAAATCTCTAAAACACAAAGATATAAATTAGGATAAGACTTGCCTACTTACCATTGATGTAGTCCAATCACAAATGCACAAATAGTCAGTAATTACAAAATTAGAAAAGTGATAAATAAGGATAATAAAATATTTTGGAATAAATTCAGTGACCCTCTTTGATTTTTTTATTTATCACTTTCCTGATTTTATAATTAGAGACCATGTGTGCATTTATAATTGGACTACATCAGCAGTCAATGAGTAGACAAGTTTTGTCCCAAAAATTATAATATTATTCCTATCAAAAGTTATGCATAAATACATTTTCTCTTTTATAAAGAAAAAAAAAAATCATTTGGTTCATTAGACAAAAATCTGTGATGGAAATTGAAAGTGAAAGAAAGTGATGTTAAAAGAAGGAAAATTAAGTTTTCATCATACATTTGGGTAGCAAATTTTTTTTTTTTTTTGAAGAAAGTTGTAAGAAAATATTATTTGGTTGATTTTGATAGCATAAAGGAAAAAAAAATAATTATACTTATAAAAAATACCCTTATAATTTTAAATACTAAAAAAATAAATAAGTTTATAATAGATAAATGCTCTTTATACTCAATAGTTTATTTTAGCAAGGAAATAGTCAAATATAGATTATTAAAAATAATAATATAATTATTTATATTTATATTCAATTTATTTATATCTAATAAGGTTTCATAATATTTATATTAGGTTAAACCCCTTTATTGTTTAAGGGGAGGAAACTAAAATGCAAAGGAGTAAGTTTTCCGGAAAAGTAAAATATTTTGGGGAAAATCAACACCAAGCTGGAATCCTATTTTTTCAAAAAATTTCATATTTTTTCTTTTATTTTACTAACTAAAAAGTTAAAAAAAAAAAAAAAAAAAAAAAAAACTCATTTAACCAAACTAAGCTGAGAATTTGGCTAAGCAAAGTTTTAGATAGGACAAATTGAATTACAAAAAGTCTCAATTTTTTATTTGACAATGGAACATTTTATAATAGAACATTTTGACAACTCTAAGGCTTCAGTTGTTTCAATGTAAAATATTACATAAAAGTTTTTTTTTTTAGATTAATATTTTATTTTATTTTTATGTTTTCATATTTGACTAAGGTCTAGATCAAGGTTGAAGTTAAGTACCTGTAAAATAACTTGTTAAAAATTAATGAATAAATTATTTTTGTTAAGTTTTACCCCGTAATATATTTTTTCTTTGTAAACACTTTACGATAATCAAAAATAAAAAATAAAATAATATTTTTTAAAAATTATTGTTCATTCAAATAAACGGAACCTAGATATAAAACGTGTTTTTTTTTTCTTTTCCCTTATTATATACCACATATTTTCTTAAAGGTCCCTTAGCAACACCATTGTCAAACAAACAATAATAGTACTAATTCCCTAGATGTATGAGCTGTGCATGCCAGTGCCACCAGGTAAGCGCACAACATGTGAGATTAAAAAACATAATTTGGAGAGAGTTGACTGGGTGATCTTTCATTTCATGTGATCCACGGGTCGCCTTGAGTGATTCGTAATTTAACAATCATCTAGAAGAAATTGAAATGAACGTTACAAGAAAATTCATTGAACTGACCATCATATTTATTTGGACTTTTCCATATACAATTACGATTTGGTCCAACACACTCGTGATCATTAGACCTATATTATATTGTTATAGTAGTAATTTTCATTTGTTGGAAGCCAAATCCCCAACAAACACTCCACTAGACAATGCCTTACTATGTATTCATTTCTAGAAAGTCAACCTTTTCGTAAAAGCAGTGGGATGAGGGGACTCAATCAACTTAATTGGTGTTTGCATACACACATCATTGTGACTTTTTGTTAAAATTTTAATTTCAACACGTCCTTTTTTTTAAATCTTTTTCCAAAGGATTGCTATGCAAAACCGTGTTCGCATCTTCCCATATTCACATCTCTTATGCTTCATTTAGTTGGAGAGATGAAAAAATGCGTAGAATAAATAGAGGGATGGATGGATGAGAAATTCCTAGGAAATAGAAAGTGTCTCTTCTATTTTTTGTTTGGTTGAATGGAGTGGATAGCAGAAAAGATGGATGGGGTGATATTTTTTTTCGTTTGGTTGGAAGGAAGAGAAAGAGATTTTTTATATTTTTTTACCAATATATTCTCATTGTATAAAATAATAAAAAGTAGATATCCATTTGAATTTTTTTGAAAAGGTTAAAATTGAAAATTACATATTGTTGGTAGTTATTTATTTTCTCTTTCCTCCCTTCCCCCAAAATTGGACGGATAATAAAATATGAAGAAAGGAGGGATGAAGCATCCCTCCTTACTTCTTCCCTCTCTTCCTTTCCCTCCAACCAAACATGAAAAGTCTCATCCATCTCTCCTCAATTCATCCCTCCAACCGAATATAGCACTAGAGTAAGAGTTAAGCATGAGACCTTATCTTGTGCTACAAAATTGTAGCAATTTTTTCACTATCAAAAGCAAAGTAGTGGGTGGGATCCACTACCACTACAGTGCCTTACGTATATGGATGGAAAGAATGCAATTAATATACCACAACTTTTCTATGTAACTTTTTAAAAGAATTAATGAGAAAATAAAAGACTGATTGGTCTGCCGGTTGAAAGGAACCATTTTGTGTTCGCGGGTTTTCTTGTCAACTTAAGGATAATATATTAAGTAGTTGAGTTCAAACACGATATGTTTAATAATTGTGTCAAGAACTTTTAATACTAACTTGATCTGTTTATTAAATAAATTATACGTGTAATCTGTTTAATGACCTATTTATAAAAATTAAAAATATATATATTATTTAAATTATTAATAATATTTAATAAAATAATAAATACTAAAAAAAAATATAAGTTTTAATCAACCAAATTACTAAAGAATTTCTAATTTACAAAATATTAAATTTTAGACACAAGTTTATATAGTAATTTTAGAATTTAAATAGAAATTTATCTACGACATATATAGTTAAATGTGTATAAACGGGTTACACGGGTTGAACTCCTGAACCTAAATACGACATAATTAACTAAACGGGTTAATCGTGTCGACTCGTTTATGAACCAAACCCTTTTAAGGCCAACCGAAATCTATTTAACTCGTGTCGTGTTAGTAGATTGTGTCAACTACTTTTGCCACCCTTAGATAATGTAGAATGGGTCATTTTATCGTCCATGTGATCTAATCATAAATAGACACATAATATGTGATTGTAAAATTAACTAGGAAAAAAAAAAATTGTAAAATTATGAAAGTATAAATAAGAAAATAGGGGAATTATTGAATTTATTTTTAAAAAAAAATTTACTATCCTTATTTATTATTTTTTTAATTTTGTAATCACAAATAATATATGTATTTGTAATTGAATCAGACAAAGAATGATACACTCACCTGTAGATAAATAAACAATTATTGTCCGTAAAGCTCTGTTCAACACGTCCTTATCTTTTTTCCGTAACATTACTACGCAAAACGTGTTCGCATCTTCCCATATTCACATCTCCTAGAGTGCGAGTTAAGCACCAGACTTTTATCTTGTGCTACAAAATTGTTGCAACTTTTTTACTATCAAAAGTAAGTAGTGGGATCCACCACAGTTCCTTATGTTTACTGTATATAGATGGAAAAAATTGCAATTGTCATCTATTGTTTGTGAAAAATGCCTACCTAATTTGTGATTATAGAATTATGAAAGTGATAAAATAAAAAAATAAGGAAATTACTGAATTTATTTCAAATAAATTTATTGCTCATTTGTAATTGGATCACATGAGCGGTCACTATGAGATGACATACTCACAGATAAATAAGCAAGTATTGTCCGTAAAGCTTTGCTTGGTAAGAAAGAAAAAAATTAGATGGAAGGAAGAGAAAAATAGATTAATAATGCATCCTTAGTATTCTTTTTGTTCGATTTGATAGAAAATAAGAGAATAAGTTCATAATTTGCTATATTAGTTAATAGAGAATGAATGAATTTTTTTTAATTGTCTTTACCACTATATTCAATAACATTTATAATATTGTAATTTATAAATGATAGTACTGTAATTTAAAACTTATACTCCCTTCGTCCCAATTTAAGTGTCGTTTATGGAGGGTAGTAATTTTTAAAGTGACATGTGAGACATGTATGGTCTGCCTCAAAAGTTATTAATTTGCCCTTTTAAGTTTTGAATATTCAAGTTTAAAATTTAAAATAAAATAAAAATAAATATAAAAAAAACATGACACTTATTTTGGGACGAGTATAATTTATGATAGTATTTAATTTAGAATTTCTATAATAGTTTACTTATCTTTTTACCTTTTTATTTTTTACCTTATTTTTGAACAGATAAAAATTTATAAAGAAAAAAGAATGTGTCATCATTGTTTCTTTTCTTTCCTTGTATCATCTCTATTTAACAAAAAAAGTTAGTTCATTCCTTCTTATTTTATTTCTTTTCTGCATAACACAACAACATAATATATATATATATATATATATATATATATATATATATATATTCAAGGAAAACAATTAGAGTGAGAGTTATTGATCGAGACAAATATATATATTGTATTGGTGTATGTCAATGCATTTGAATTATATTTCAATATATTTATTTTGTATGTCTGAGAAACACTATAAATTTGAGCAAGAGCACGCTTCGAGTGTGAAAGTAACACTTATCGAGAAAGATTATGTGACTTAAGTTGAAACAATATTTAATTATTTTAAAATTAAAATAGTGACGTTGAAAATCCTAAATAAATATATTGAAAAAGAATATAAGTATATTGAAAAAGTTTACCATATGCTACGGCAGTAACGTGTGACAACAGAGGATCCAAGGATACCTAATAATAATTGTAGATTACCGAGTGGTACTCAATAATTCATCCCACAACTCTGTCACAGTCAAAATCACCGCTCTCTTTCTCTCTCCTCTTCCAGATAAACGCGCTTCTGCCGTCACCACTTCCTCATTCGCTCAACCACTCCAACTTCCTTCCATATCAATCAAATACGTACGTATATGTATTTATATATCTATATGTAATTATATGTATGTATTCTTCTTCCATACACTGCTTTGACCAGCGATCTCTCTTTCTCAGAACTTTCCTCTTCGATTTCCTCTCTCCATTTATACCCTCTTCACTTTAACCTTTCCTCTTCGTCTCATATCTCTACTTCCTCTCATCTGTCTCCCCCTTTCTTTACCTATAGACACACATAACTTATTTACATTGATTAGCTTGGAGATGGAGAACAATCAGCAATCATTCTATCAATTCAGCGACCAGCTTCGACTTCAGACCAACAACTTGGCCAATCTCTCTCTCAACGACTCCATCTGGAGCAACTCCTATGTCTCCAAAAGGCCCGAACAGAGGCGAAATTTTGATATTAGTTCGGTGAATTCGTCGAACACTTTGAAGGCAAAAGCTTCCGATTTCAATGGGTTCAACGATGGTTGGAAGTTCGGCTCTTCTGGTATTGGATCAATCGGATCCTCTCAGAATCTCAACATGGTTGGGCTTAATGGTGGCTTCAATAAGGGGGTTTACTCGAAACCTTCCATGAACTTCGATCTCAACAACAACAACAGTCTTGCTTTCAACAATAGTGTTGGTTTTAATGGGAAGGGTAATAAGATTGGTGGTGGTAAGTTTGAGGATGATCATCTTGGAGGCAAAATTGGGAAGAAAAATAAGAACAAGAACACCAAAAACAACAATGATAGTGACAATAATAGCAAGAACAGTGTCGAGAAAAAGTTCAAGACACTCCCACCATCAGAGTCTCTGCCAAGAAATGAAACCATTGGTGGGTATATCTTTGTGTGCAACAATGATACTATGCAGGAGAATCTCAAGAGGCAGCTCTTTGGTATGCCCTTACTTCCCTCTCAATGTTCTTTGCTCTTATATATTCTTATACAATTTCAGACATTATATTGCTATTAATTGAATTTTGCACTTGCCCTGCTTTTTAAACAACAGATTGTAAATTGGATGTTTAGAGTCATTTCGATTAATACTTTAATTGTGATACTCTTTGCTCTCTGTGTCTCATATATGTCTCTATCTGGGTATATGGAATAGTAGTATGGGTTGACCTCTGATTCTCGTGCAAACAAATTCCTAATCTTTGTTGGAATGATCAAAATGTTTAATTTTAAACAATTAGTATGGATTGACCTCTGATTCTGTGCAAACAAATTCATAATCTTTGTTGGAATGATAAAAAATGTTGAATTTTGAACATTTTTTTGGTAGTAGTATGGATTGACCTCTGATTCTCGTGCAAACAAATTCCTAATCTTTGTTGGAATGATCAAAATGTTTATTTTTGAACATTTTTTGTTTGTAGTATGGGTTGACCTCTGATTCTTGTGCAAACAAATTCTGAATCTTTGTTGGAATGATCAAAATGTTTAATTTTGAGCAATTTTTGTCAAACCTGAATTCGCTGCATCTGGGTGGAAATTTTCACTAACTTAGGCTGTGTCCGGTTATGTTGAATTAGATTCAATTTAAAAGTTAAATTTTGCAGAATACAAAGATATTGCTTTTGGGTTGGCGTTTTTTCATCTGTACTTTTGTTAGTAATATCTTAGATTACAAATAAAATGGCCTTGGAATAGGATTGAATATGAAGGCTTCACCTCATAGCAACCAAACATAGACTGTGACTGTTGGACTTTGTCAAACTCATATTACTTAGGATTGAAAGCTTCAATTAATTTTTTAGATTATCATAAGCTCATCTTAATTTATGCTTCTCTAATAAATTACCAGGTTTGCCTCCTCGCTACCGAGATTCAGTTCGGGCAATTACTCCAGGCTTGCCCCTTTTCCTTTACAACTATTCCAACCATCAACTCCATGGCGTTTTTGAGGTTTGCATTCTTTCCTCTTAAATTTTGTCTAATAACTATCCTTTAAATTCTGTGAAAGATCAAGATCTTTGTGGTATCTCATCAAACACTTCACTATTGCAAATTCAAGAGCTATTTTTTCCATGAATGGTTCATTGGTCTTAAGGGCTTGATTATCCAAATGGTTAACCTTGCTTTGCTCTATCATGGTACTAGTTTATTAGGTTTTGGGCTTGTGTATTTTACCCTTCTCAATTCCCCGCTAGAGAAATATGTCTCTCTGAACTTCTGGTTTTCAAGGATTATTTAGTGCCTATTTTTATATTGTGCATCTTAAGCTAATATGGAAATGCTCTGTTTAGGCTGCAAGCTTTGGAGGAACAAATATTGATCCGACTGCGTGGGAGGACAAAAAGAACCCGGGTGAATCACGTTTTCCTGCACAGGTATGTTCTGCCTTTGTCCCATATGAATGGGGAGAAAAAAACTCAGCATCTGCTGATAATATCTGTGGGGTTGTTAATGATCTACATGCTTCTGTTTTCAATCTTCTAAATTGGGGTTTACCTGTGTGTTTATGGACAGGTACAAGTCATGATAAGGAAGGTTTATGAACCACTAGAAGAGGACTCCTTCAGGCCGATTCTTCACCATTACGATGGTCCCAAGTTCCGTCTTGAACTAAGTATTCCAGAGGTAATTACTTATAGACCTGATTATATCTGGTACAAGTTTTTTTCATGGGGTTTCAAGCAATTTGGTATCTTCATTTTAATGTTTCGGGGTTAAACAATGAGTTGGTTTTAATTTTGCAGGCGCTTTCGCTGTTGGATAAATTTGCAGAGGATCTACCCTTGAACGACCTGGTCTAAAGGCACGTAGCTAGATATACATTTCATATACGCAGAGGATAATGATGAAAGTAAAGAAAGAAGAATGAGTCATTTGGCTATAATATATATATATATATATATATATATATATATATATATATATGTTTGTGTGGGTTTATATATATATATATATGTGGAGTGTGAAGACTTTGGATGAAGAAGAATAGGGATGGGTTTGCCCATGTGATGTATAACTTTTTGTATGGAGCTTATAATTTCTGTTCTTCAGCCTGGCATACACTTACGAAAAATAATGAAAGTGAACTTTATTGTGGTCTAATATACGAATGGAATTGTATAGCTGCTTGGATTTAATGAGTTATTCAGTTTGAGGGTAATATTAAGGGAAGGGAAAGATTAAAGGTAAAGGTAATAGAGTTAATAAAAAAGATATGGTAGTACGAAAATTGGCGGTGAGCAGAATGGAAATATTGAATTTTTGAATTCATGTAGCGGATCTCAAATGACTAGGTGGGGTTTGGTTTGGTTTAACAGTCTTTTCATGTAAGCCTCTGGTGAGAAAAGAAAGTGTGGAATTGGTGAATAATTGGGGTGGTTAGGAAACACTCAAAGGTATCCCATTGCTCAAAAGTGACAGTATAATGTAGTTAAACCATCGCCTTTCAACAAATCTATATGTTCAATCAAGAGCCTTAAACAAATAAGTAGTTAATGCCCAAGAGAGAAGGCAAAACGTTTCAAAGGTGGTAGGTGTTGAACGAAGTCCCGTGAAAATGAAATGTCAATAAAGCTTATGGTGTAAGGTCTTACAGTCGTCGCTTTTTGAATGCAGGATAGGGACTTCTTACTTGCAAACAGAATCACCAGACATTCTCATCATCCCAACTAAGAAATAAGTTTGATTCTTCTTAAAAACCAAACAATTTCTTAAAAGGGTTATGTAAGTATCAAAAATAATTGGTGCCATTCTCCTAATTTCGTTTTTTTTTTTTCTTTTTTCTTTTTATAATTATGATTGTGACTCGAGACACCTTGCAAAATTGTTGTCAATAGGCTTGTACCATAGCTCATTCATGTTTGTTTTTTTAGATCGTGTTTGGTATAGGAGGGAAAAGAAATGAAATGAAAAAAAATGAAGGGAATGGAGATGAAATCATTAACTTTCAGTGTGTTTGGTTCATAAATAAGGAAAAAGAAGAGAAATGAGAGTGTTAATATCGTCCCATGAAAAAATTAAGAAAATTTATTTTATTAAATTTAACTTTTTATATTTAAATGATTAAATGGTATTTCGTTTTTGTCCTTCATTAATTTTAGGGTAAAATTAGTGTAATAAAAATATCGTTAAACCTAGAATCATTTGGACGGGTCTCCTAAACCCTATTTTACCTTATTTTTTATTAATTTGTCCCAAGTCCGTCCTAAAATGGAGAAGGTTTTTAAACTCCCAAATCCCATCTACAACACAAATCGAGCTCACGGCCCGTCCCGTTACCTTCACCATGCCTCCATAGATTATTAGTAAATTAAGCGGCAAATAATTAGACAATTACTTATTTTGGCAACAGGTCTCAACAAGGGGTCCATAGCTCAGTGGTAGAGCATTTGACTGCAGATCAAGAGGTCACCGGTTCGAACCCGGTTGGGCCCTTTTTTCGTCCCATTGTAATTAATTACATCTTTCTATCATTTTAGACATTACTCATCTTTATGTAATACTCATCTATGCAGTTTTAAGAAGAAAAAAAAAAAAAAAAAAAAAAAAAGTTTATGTACATCACACTTGATAGCCTTCTTTTTTTACCACAATAAATTAAATAAAAGCCAACTTCTTGTTTCCTTCCCTTTGTCAGGAATATATCTCTAAACGACCCTTAAAAAGTTAAAAAGAGAGTATACAAACCACAAAACTAGATTCAAACTTCTTTAAATCATTCTTGAGCCTGTTTCTAGTTCTGATTATATAATTGGAAAACTTTTGGGTATCATATATACCCTTTTCATTTCCCATTTTCCCTTTGATTTGATTCAAATCCAGTGGCTTTGTGGGAATTTTACTTAATTCTCATCCAATGAACCAACTCTGCAATAACATTAAAAACTGACACCAGAACATGCGTATATGCATACATTTATTTATATGTACTATCCATAAAATATTAATGGCTATAGGATGGAATCCAACATTCACAGATACACACCCCCCTTCAACAATTTACTGAACTGCTCCGCTCCTAAAAATGTCGCTATCTGAAATTATTTAATTTATCATTCTACCCTTTATTCTATTCATTTGTCTCAATTATTCTAATTTGATGCCTCCTAAGTCCTAACCAACGGTCTAATTTCCACTATTTGCATTCAAATTTTCAAAATAATCAACTCACTAATAATGACTCTTCTTACCCCTTCCCTTGTCTTCTTCCCCTCTAAATCCGTGACCCATTGATTTTAATTTAAGATTCCTCAGCTTTTAATATATACACACACACAAACACACACCAGCATTGCTTCTATAGATGAACCAAAAAAAAGGGTGTTAAAAGAGATTTGCAATGGGGAATTGCTCTGTCAAAGGGGTTACTGATATTAAATGCTCCAACTCTATCCGGCTTATGACAGATTCTGGTGATATAATAGAGTTGGAAGGGCCTAAAATAGTCCGGGAAGTCCTCAATGACTTCCCGGGCTATGGCATTTTCAGGCAAGGTCGCCTATCATCGCCATTGTTATGCCACCAGCAACTTTTCAGTAACCGGTTTTACTATCTCCTCCCACTAGGAAAGGAGATGTTAGCACCGGGTACTAAGGCTAGTACGTACTTGAATGATGGGTGCGCGAACGTGCCAGAGCCGGTGAGGATGTCATCGTCAAGTGCTGCATTGGATGTTGTCACAAACTTAACCAATGGGTCAGCTCTTGAAGTCCTGCCACCTCCTCAGAAGGGTGTGTGGAGAGTGAAGCTAGTGATTGGTACCAAACAATTGGAGGAAATTTTGTCGGGAGAGGACAATACCGAGGCCTTGATTGAGACGATGAGGATGGCTGCAAGCTCAGCCAACGTCACGCCTAGGCGGATCAAGGGTTCTAGGGGTGTGAATTGGAAGATTTTAAGCAATTTCTTTAAGGTTCCAGTTGATTATGAAAAAAAAGTCAGGTAATTCGATGTCTGAAACAGCAGTCCCAAGTCGGGAAGGGTTATTAGCTCAATTGGGAACACAAAACTTAGTGTTCCAATTGATCTATTTATTGAATTATTGATGAATCATATGACTTTGTCCTGGTTAACTTTTATAGCTTAGTTTGTACATTTTGCTATGTATCTCTGATGCTGAAGGGGGAAGTAAGGTTAATTATTATTTATTACAGATATTGCTTGCTAGTTTTCTGTATTTTACCTGAGATTTGTTGCACTTGTTTAAGTGCCCAATGGGTGAATATATTTTAGGAAAAAATTATAAATTGTATCTTTAAAAAGAAGAAGATAGAATTTTTTTCTTTTGAATTCAAACCTAACCTATTCTATAAATAGGGGTGCGATTTGAGCTAACCCCACTTTGAATTCAAACCAAACCTATCCTCTTATTATGTTCTTGCACACTATTTTTCTTTTGGAAGTTTGGTTTGGGTTGCTATAATTAAATTAGGATTAATTATACTGACACTTGTTTAAGTTTGATAAAATATCATATTGAAACACTTTTCAAAACTTATTACCACTAACACTCCTAAACACTTTTGACACATAGTCTTTTTAGCCTTTTATTTTAAGGATTAATTTCACTGACACCTCCTTCAAATTTGACCAAATATAATACTTAAATATCTTTTAAAAATAAATATGCCTATTTCTAACTTTTCATTAAATATTTTGTTAAATATATGAGAAAAGATAACTTTACCATTACTTTTTTAATCTCTTTTAATCAAAAATATCATATTACCTGAACGACCATTATACCCCACACCCACCTACCAACCCAGACATTGCAAGGGAGATGAGCCATTGAAGATGTGTGTTTCTGCCGTATCAAAGATGAGCAATTGAAGATGTTGGTGGCCTCCATTCATCGTCACATTCCGATCAGACCTGAGCTCGTGCTTGTCGCTGGTGAGAGAGCTTGCTGTTGGTTTGACGATGTAGCAAGAACTGGGTTGCTGCACCTCTGCAACTTCCGGCGAACAAAACAGAGAGCTTTGGCGGTGGAGAGTTGCAGATTCCAGTGACAAGTTGAGGAACCAATCCTCTGATGGGTGTTGGGTTGGGATTGTCACAATATGGATGAGTGGTTCCAGATATTGGCCAATGCCCGCAAAAAGTCCAGTAGTGTTGTCTACTTGTAATACCCCTAGTTTTTTGGGGTTTATAATTGTCACATTGTCACAATATGGATGAGTGGTTCCAGAGATTGGGGAAAAAGATGCATTTTAACCAGAAGCAACTACTTTCATGTGCAGAAATATGGATATTGAAACAAAAAATTGTGAGATGGTCAACAATCTCACAGTTGTGTGTGAGAGAGAGAGAGAACTCAAACGCTTCCATTTTCAAGAATTTCGCAAAAATCTGCAAGAATCAATCGCTATTCATTCTTCAAAAAAAAATTATCCCAATACATCTAATTTAAAATTTCATGAAATCAAAATCTGAATGTTTTGATGGACTCTTTGATGCAAAATCCTTCGTTGTATTATTGCATAACTGGCCTCCGTACTAGGGATGGCAATGGAGGCGCGTTTGGGCGGGTGTACCCTCCCCCGCCTCTGCTACCGTTTAAAAATGCCGCCCTCGTTTCCGCCCAAAATCACAAAAACGGGGGAACTTTTCACCCTATCTCCGTAACCGTTTAACATTTTTACCCATGTGAGTACCCGCCCCGTCCCGTTTAAGACTATAATTTATTTATTGTTGAAATAAATTTGCTCTTTTTTTTTCCCCTCATCTTCAATTTTTTACCATTACAACTTTTCTTTTAATCAAATTCATTTGTTACTTTAATATTGTTATATAGGGTACTTAATATATATATACTACTAATAAAAGTGGATTCAATATATAATATTTATATACACTTTAACATACTTATTTTAATTAAAAAATATTTTAAAATGATTTTCACGTACCATTTTCATCTCTTACCAAGGGATGCAAACTTTAGCAAAACTTCACATCTATTAGTTATATTATAAGATAAGATATCTGATATGGAATTTAAACATTTTTTATTATTTATATATATTTTTAACAATTTTATATTACTTTGTATTTCAAATAAAACAGTAAATTAATACCTTTTGGACTAAATTTTTGTTATTAATAATTTAATTTAGAAACACGCGACGTTTCATTATATTGATCTGCACATTGCTTCTGTTCTTCAAGGAACACATACGTTCATGGCTTCCTTTTTTTAAGGAACACAAATGTTCGGCAAAAGTTGCGCATCGATTGATTGTGATATATATAAGTTAGGAAAGAACTAATTCAATAGGAAGTTTTGACACGAAAACATTGAAATAGAAGAAAGACAAAACGAGGTCTGGAGATGGTTGTTAACAAAGAAGAGAAGTTTGGGAGCAATGACTTGATCAATTTGGTTGTTGATTGAATCTTGTTGATGAAGAGTTGCAGAAATCATTCAGAAAAAAAAAAAAAAAAAAAAAAAAGCCACAGATAGATGAGAGAGAGTGTGAGTTTCTTTTCTTTTTTCTTTTTTTTTTGGATAAAGTACAATGACACCCCTATCGTCATCATTTAACACTATCCAACTTTGACCTCTTTCACAGAAATACTATTGAAAATCTTCATGTGAAACTCTAACTCTGTATTCCTTATTGAACTAATTTTTGCAATTTTAGGGTTATGTAACACAGTATATGGATGATGGCCTCAATGATGCATCACCCAATAAGTTTCAGGTGTTTTTTTCTTTTTCTTTTACTATATATATATATATATATATATATATATGTGTGTGTGTGTGTGTGTGTGTGTGTGTGTGTGTGTGTGTGGGTTTCCTTGGTGTTTAAAAATTTTAACATTAAATAATTGAATCAATCTTCCCTAAAAACAGTTGATATTAAATTAGTCTACCTCAACTTTCCACTCACATCAAATAATCCGATTAATTCTTCGCAATATCAAATAGGCATCAAACCGGAGTAGACACTTCGGTCTATGGATTTATGGTAGATACACAAGTTGGCCTCAATGATGTATCACCCAATAAGTTTCAAGTTTTTTTTCTTTTTCTTTTACTATATATATATATATTGGTTTCCTTGGTGTTTAAAAATTTTAACATTTTAATATTCGTCCTATCATTTTAAGTCTCTTCCTAATCCGAATTAATATTATTACATCTTTTCTGTTTTTTTTGGATGAATACACACACACACACACACCTCTTTCTATTGGACTCAAGAAAGTATTATATACATTTTAACACCCTTCTAAACTAAACAAATTACTAATATTTTTTAAAACTGGATAGATTGTTGATAAATAATTAGCTTTAAAATCAAACACCTTTTAAACCAATTTCCTATTCTCCTTAGTTGTTCACATTGATGGTTACGTAATTAAGTTAAATCACATCTCTAATGAAATTAGAATTGAAATTTTATTTTTCAATAAAAATAAATGATAGTAGATATAACAAATTCACTAATATATCTTTCATTATCAAAGTGAACAGTTGTGCCATTTTTATCCGTATATATAAATTGTTTGCATATTTTACAATTTTGGACATGGCATGTGTAGTTAATTATGATAAATGAAAAAAATTCACGCCCATGTAAGTTTTATACCAAGTTTTAACAATGAAGGAATTGTATTCACATTCAAATTAACACCTCTTCTAACAAAAAATTGGATTATGGTAAAAAAAAGAAAAGAAATTTCTCATGCCCAGCATGCAAGTGTGAAGTGACATAGATTTAGATATGACTAAAGAGTTAGATTCACATGCATGCAATTAGGAGGATCTCGGACGTGTGTTTAGGTTCTTGACAATTAGCCGGCACACCTTACATCATAATTCACTGATGTACATAATTATATCAAAGACTTTTAGAGTAAGTAATTCCGTTTTCTATTGTTGGTATTTATGGAGATACTTTTTTAACTTTATTATCTAAAGTTTGTAATAAAATTTGTGGTTTGAAAATGATAGCATTTCTTTTAAAAAAATTAATAATAATAATTTTTAATTATTAGTTGGTTTATTCCAAATGTGATAGAAAAGAGAGGATTTACCCTTAAGACAGATCCATTGTTGTTGAAGACATAAAATTTCAGTGAAACGTTAATTTGGGTCTTTAACTGGTTTGGTGTCCCAGATTATGCAATAGTGGGACACGAATTGGCTAGATAAGAGCTCCATGGCTCCTTGATGTCATTATTGATGATTTAACCTCTTCTTCTTAATAAATCTACTCAATATATCTCTAATTATTAAATCTAATTATTAAATCACATGATTAAGTATTTAACAAACATAAACATGTTTATTAATATTAAGATGTTAGAGATACATTTTTTTTTTTTTGTCAAATTCTTCATTATACTACAAAAAGAATCTAAAGCAATTTCTGGAAGAAAAAAAATCAATAATCATTTCTCATCACGTGCATAGCACGTTGATTTTTCTAGTAGTGGTAAGTATATATACTAATGTAATAAGGTTACTTAAGTAATTTGCCTATCTAAACGGAGCAGGGCGGTGCGGGGAGACCTCCCCTCACCCCCGCACCAAACCCGCGCGGATTTTTAGTACATCAAACCATCCCCGCCCAAATAGCCAAAACGGTCCCCCAAAGCCGTTAAAAACGGGACGGGGTGAGGCGGGTAACCGTGGGAGCGGGTCAAATTGTCATCCCTACTTCGTACAAGAAGAATTTTGCTGTTATTGATGGTAATGGAAAATGAGCCTTTGCCCTGTCCATCATCAACGCTGTCGTGGAGGATCGATTATAGATCGGATTCGGCTGAAATTGATTTTGATTTTGTCTTTGATTATACTTTCCATGTGATTATTATCTTTGATGTCTCCAATTGTTGGAAGTAAAGGATCCTATGTTTTTTTTTTTTTTTTTTTTTTTTTTTTTTTTTTTTTTTTTTTTTTTTTATGTGTGTAATGTGTGTGTATATATATATATACACTAGTAAAAGACATCTACGATGCACGTGATCAATGTTTTGTAACTTATAGAATTTTTCTTTTCATATATTTTTTAATTATTTTATAAAAAATTATTTTATTTTATTTATATATATCCTTATCTAATTAGATTTTATAAATAAATAAATACAGAGGTTATATGTGATAGAG